CTCGATAATCAAACCGAATCTAGTAGCAAATTCGTCATAAACTTAATAAGAAAGTGAACCAAAAACTGCAGACAGATTAACTGATGGCTCTTATCTTACGATACTTTACCACCACTTGATATCTAACAAAATAGGCGCTGTTTAAAAGTATAAACCGTGTAGTAAAATTAAATCAGCTTATAAATCCGTGAATAAACTTTCAAATAAATTTAGCAAAGCGAAAGATAAGAAGAAACCCACTACAAATATGATACTTATTTTATTTTTTGTTCTTGTAATTGTGCTTATATTGGTCAAATAAAACTATCTCTTCCAATTACAGTAAGGGAACTTCAAGGTCTTTAGCAATATATGTTCAATCATCCAATCACAAAATCATTTCGACCAACGAAAATTCATTGCAGGACCATAATTCTTTAATCCAAGGAAAACAAGACAATCGATAGAAATATTTATAAATAGAGAAAGCATCTTCAATTATGAGATAGGATTTGAACTCAACCCTATTTGGAAGTGTTTTTTTTTTTGTTGTTGAATTACTTAGTGGAGGTTGACCCTTTTGAACCGGTTTGAATCTGGTCATCAATAATGACCTGAGAATAGTTTTACTCCATCCTTTGAGAATGGCATGATTAGCTTTTTTTATTTATATTTCATGTTTAGTTAATTTTAAAAACTTCAGTCTGTAACGTTCTTTCGTATTCAACTGTCTTTTTGAAGGTAACTCTTATTTGGCGACGATTTATTACTATGGGTAGAAACATTGTAATTATTAAAATAAGAACTTGGGTACTGAAAAAGTTGCTATTATTGTATTTTAAATTAATTCTTTAATCTTTTGCGCATTATTCTTTTTTTAATATTTTGTTAACCTATCTAACCTATATAAAAGCAAACGTGTGTCACGTCACGTTACGCTTGATTTCTCGAAATAGGAAGAATCATAAAAGCCAAAATGCATTCATCCAGATAGAATAGTTCGATTACTGCCTGCCCATTACGATTTTAGTGACGGGGATGCAAACATTATAAGTGTAGTGAGTGTTTGTATAATAAGCCTAAAGTAAAGACGTAGTGTTGGATCACCTAGCCTAGAGCCCAGTGCATAAAATTTATCATGAAAGTAAATATAGTGATTCAATTTTAAACTTAAGTCGTTTCTAAATTAAGCTATTTTCTGTTATATCATCAACGTTTTTAATAAAAAACAAAACAAATCTCTTTAATCAACGCAGACTCTAAATTAAGAAATCAAGAAATATTTTTCCAGTTTTATTGTCTATACATTTCATTTTACACTTTCAGTACATAGATTAACAACAATGTTAGATTATACTTTTGTTTGTTGGAACGTAATGTTATCAAAACGCACTGGCTTTTCTATATATTAGAATGGCCCGGCATGGCCAGGTGGTTAGGGCGCTCGACTCACAATCTGAGGGTCGCGGGTTCGAAT